GGAGCCGCCGGGGGAGGGGAGGAAGGGACGGTCTTCCCAGGGTAAAATTTAATCTCGGGGATTTTTTTTTTTTTTAATCTCAGGAATTACCACGGCCTTCCTGAGTACCAAGGCCGCATCAGCACTGCTTTATTTCCAGCGGGACTGGGTGGTTGAGATCTCTCCTCAGTACCTTGTTCGACCCCCTGGGCCCCATCGGGGGGAGGTCCTCAAAATGTCTCAGGGGCTCTGTGCCTCAGCCCCGCCCATAATGACATGTGCTTCACAGTAAGACCCAGGATTATGTTATCGCTGGGGTAAAGTAACCATCGGCCTATTTATGGCTAATTTAGTTATTAAAGGTGGGCTTTGGATGACGTGTTATGCCCACGAAATAATCAAGTTGAGTCGGTTTCTGAGCCTTGTTTTTTATGCCTGTCATTGAGCTGTTCATTTGCCTAGCCTTCTAAATAGGTGACTGTGGTAGAAAATGAAATGTAGAGCTTTTATATATGGGGTGCGCTTATTGATTATCCCATCAGTTTTTCCAGAAGTCCTCAAGTAAAACAGTGAATTAAGTTTCTTATTTAAGGGCATCTTTTAAAAAATAAAGGGAATAATACTTTTTAATATTTTTTTAAATCAAGGATTTGGAAATATCAGCCTGTCAAATTTTTATTTTTTAACTTTTTGTTGGGTTTTTGTTTTGTTTTTATGCTTTTTGAGACAAGGTGGTACTATGTAGTCCAGGCGGCCTCGAATTCCACAATCTTCATTGCAGGTGTGTGCCGCCATATCCAGCTTTAAATTTTTAACTTTTTAAGGAATTTTTACAAATATAATTTGGGATTTCTTAAATGCTCAAGGATCTTTGACTCTTTCACTTTTTTTTTTTTTTTTTTTTTTTTTTTTTTTTTTTTTTGTATCAGGGATCGATTTGGGTCCTTGGGCTTGCAAGACAGATGGCAGAACCACTGAGCTAAATCCCCAGCCCTCTTTCATTACCTTTTAAGTCTCTCTTGATGGAACTTCACTTTCTGATGTGAGTGATATTCTAGGCCTACATTGTTTTCTATTTTCTTGGAGGGGGCGTTTTGAGACAGGGTCTCACTATGTAGTGAGACTGACCTGGAACTCACTATGTAACTCAGGTTGGTATCGAACTCACAACTATCCTCCTGCCTCAGCTTCCCCAGTGCTGGGATTACAGGCGTGCACCACCACACCCGGCCTTTCTATTTTCATCTACTGTAAATTAGAAAATTCTTAGCCAGGTGTGGTGGCTCACCCCTGCAATCCCAGCACTCGGGAGGCTGAGGCAGGAGGATCGCTGTGAGTTCCAAGTCAGTCTCAACTACATAGTGAGACCCTGTCTCAAAAAAAACCAACCCAAAACAGAATATTCTTATTTTTACTTCACATCCTGTCTTGTACTCTGTCACTAAAACCTTTCTTAGCCAGATGTGGTGGCAAACACCTATAATCCCAGCACTCAGAAGGCTGAGGCAGGAGGATCACTGAGAATTCCAGGCCAACCTGGGCTACATAGTGAGACCCTGTCTCAAAAAGTAAAATAAAATAAAACCTTTCTTTTGAGCACTTCCTTTTCCTTGAGGATCTGGTATCACAAGTATGCTACACTCTCTCTTGTTGTAAGCCTCAGAGGGTTAACATCTATTTACTCTTTTTATTTATTTATTTA